TCTCCAGCATGGGTGACAGGGTTAGATCTTATCTCTCTTTTTTTTTAAAAAAAAAAAAAGGAAGGTTGGGGCTGGGCGTGGTGGCTCACGCCTGTAATCCAAGCACTTTGGAGGCCAAGGCGGGTGGGGGACACAAGGTTGGGAGGAGAAGCGCAGCCGAGACAAGATGGGGGAAACCCCGTCTTTTGAAAAAAAAAAAAAAAGGAAGGTTCGGAACCGCTGATCTAGTAGTTAAGAAAGTGGAGGAGGGAATTGGTAGAGAAGGATGAGACTGAAAACTTTTCTTCTTTGTTTTTTTGTTTTGTTTTTTTTCTTCTTTGTTTTTTTGTTTTGTTTTGGTTTGGTTTGATTTGGTTTGGTTTTTAAGACAGGGTCTCACTCTGTCCCCAAGCTGGAGTGCTGTGGCACTATCTCAGCTCACTGCAGCCTCCACCTCCTGGGTTCAAGCGATTTTCCTGCCTCAGCCTCCTAAGTAGCTGGGACTCCACTCCTGGATAATTTTTGTATTTTTAGTAGAGCTGGGGTTTCACCATGTTGGCCAGGCTGAGACCCAGGTCCCTGGTTTAGCTGTCATGGCTGCTTGTAAAGTGAACGGGCATCTGTGACCTCAGGTGATCTGTCTGCCTCTGCCTCCCAAAGTCCTGGGATTACAGGCATGAGCCACCATGCCAGATCTGACAGATTTTCAATTGCTTGGGCCAATATCAATTATAACATATACTAATTCCTTGTTCTAATTTCTATTTCAGTTTAAATTTGTGGGGCTAAAGAATTTCCCTTGTACTCCTGAAAGCCTGTGTGATGTGCTGTCTATGGATTTCCCTTTTGAGGTAACAAAACCATTGTCTTTATTGCCTTGATGTGATGATAGGCTACAGAGATACTTAGTTACACAAAATCTTAAAATATACCCTGATTGTGCTGTGTCAAAGCATTAGAAAGGGACTGCAAGTGATTCTGGAGAAAGGATGAACTTGCCCTTCAGAGCCTGAGCTCCACCCCTGCTGGATAAGTCAGAATGCTGGCACTGGAAGGGCCCTTACCAGACAACTCATCCAACTCTCTCATTTTACAGATGGAGAAACTGAGGCCCAGAGAGGGGCATTGCAGTGAGCTGAGATCTTGTCAGTACACTCCACTCCAACCTGGGCAACAAGAGCGAAACTCCGTCTCAAAAAAAAAAATTGCCTAGTCACCGCAAGCATTTGCTTGAACTGGATAGATATATATTTTTTTAGGATGGAATTCACTCTGTTGCCCAGGCTACAGTGCAATGGCATGATGTCAGCTCATTGTAACCTCCACCTCCCAGGTTCAAGTGATTCTCCTGCCTCAGCCTCCTGAATAGCTGGGATTACAGGCGCATGCCACCATGCCTGGCTACTTTTTGTATTTTTAGTAGAGACAGGGTTTCACCATGTTGGTCAGGCTGGTCTCAAACTCCTGCCTGATGATCCACCTGCCTCACTCTCCCAAAGTGCTTGGATTACAGGTGTGAGCCACTGTGCCCAGCCAAACTGGATATAATTTTGTAAAAGGACCACAGATTCCCGAATGAGGAAATGGCAAATGCTGAGTTGCCTGCATTTCTGGGAGTCAATTAAGAAGGTGGTAAGATCCCAGCACAGCTCTTGAGCAAAAAAAAAAAAAAAAAGAAGGTGGTAAGAATTTATTTATAACTTTTATGCCCCAGTGACAATAAATGCTTTTTAGAGATGAGTCACTGAATCATAGAAAAGAAAATGTGGGACTGTAGGAGGTCTTCCCGTTCAGAAAAACTGAGTTTCCCAGAACATAGCTCGCAAACAATTTAGGGGGAGGTTTAGGCAGCCAACCATAGCCGGGGAGGCAGGGTTTCTGGACAGCCTGTTTCCCCTGTGCGCAGCAGTCTGTTGCCTCGGAGGGGCCTGTCCAGTTCCTCTGCTCTTCATTCTGTGCACAGAGCTCATCCACTGTGACACAGACCCCTAAGTGGGGGAAAGTCCATGGAATCTGGGGACAGAAGACCAGAGTTTAAGTCAAATTCCTGCTTCCTCTTCACTATGTATTTTAAGGAGGTCCTCAGAACTTCTTGAACCTGAGCAGCCCCATCTCTTAGATACCCTCATGGGTAAGGGTAAAATAGTGGGCAGGAAAGCACTCTGTAAACAGAAAAGTGCTATTTATGTTTTTCATTTTTTCTTCTTTTTCTTTTTTTGAGACAGAGTCTCACTCTGTCGTCCAGACTGGAGTGCAGTGGTGCAGTCTCAGCCCACTACATCCTCTGCCTCCTAGGTTCAAGCGATTTGCATGCCTCAGCCACCCAAGTAGCTGGGATTATACCACCATGCCTAGCTGTTTTCTTTTTTTTTTTTTCTTTCTTTCTTTTTTTTTTTAGTAGAGATGGGGTCTTACCGTGTAGCCCAGGCTGGTCTTGAACTCCTGAGCTCAAGCAATCTGCCCACCTCAGCCTCCCAGAGTGCTGGGATTATAAACATGAGCCACCACACCCAGCCAATGTTTTTATTTTCTCAAATTTAGTTTTCTAGGCCATTTGGTTATTTAGAGAAACTGCATGTGTGAGAAGCTGGGACTCTTTCCTCCGTCAATGACCCAGAAAAAGGAGTCGGACCACAAGAGCTGCCCTTGTGTATGTAGGCTCTCCTGGAAACATGTGGCCCCAGAAGTCATTTGGATCCTCAATTTCCCCCCATCCTGTAGGTAGATGGACTTCTCTTCTACCACAAGCAGACCCACTACAGCCCCGGAAGTACTCCTTTGGTGGGCTGGCTGCGCCCCTACATGGTGTCAGATGTCCTCGGTGTGGCTGTGCCAGCTGGCCCGCTGACCACCAAGCCAGAATATGCTGGACACCAGCTCCAGCAGATTATGGAGCACAAGAAGAGCCAGAAGGAGAAACTCACACACAAGGCCTCCGAGAGTGGGCACTATGAGTTGGAGCACCTGTCTACCCCCAAGTTGAAGAGTTCTCCCCACAGCCCAGACCAACCTGGAAGCCTCATGGAGAATTAAAGTGGGAAGCCTCCTGAAGGAGCCACAGGATGGTACCTAGCCCCAAAGGGAATATGGGAGGGGAGGACAGTAATAACAGGTGACTTCATTCTTTAGAGCGAACTTTACAAAGCCAGCCTGGCCAGAAACAGCTTATCTATAATCTGAAATGCTGGCTCAAACAGTTGCGGGAAGGCTCCCAGATTGGGTAGCATTCAGGCTGATTTGAGCAGCTCCTACTGTGATAAGTGTATCCTAGATCCGCAATGTAAATATATGTGATTCATAAGAAAGAAGCATTTTGTGGTTCTTAAGCTTTAGATAGCCATGAATCTCTCCTCTTCCCACTCCAGTCCCCTGGGCTACTTCAGCCATGGCTGTTCAAATCTTGGCCCATTTCACTGTTTTTAGCACTCAAAGATTCTGCTGAGTTTCCAGTTGTTGCTGCCGAAAGGTTTTACCAAGAACTGCAATTCTTAGTATTTGAATATGTTCCCTCTTCTGAGAAGACAAGTGTGATTTTCTTTGGTTTAGACATTGCCAGAGATAAAATGCAAATGGAGTTCATTCAGTCCTTCAGCAAACATTTGTGCCTACCAGGAGATAATCCTTGTCCTAGGCCCCTGCCAAGTAGAGGGGTTATGGAGGTGGACGGGACTTAGTCCCTGCCCTTGAGGATCTCACGCTTCTGTGAGAAAAGAAGCCCACCAGGAGAGTTTGGGAGAGGATGCTGGAAAGAGATAGGAGGTTTTAGATTTTGTGTCATGGATGAAGGAAGCTAAGGAAGAACTTTGAGCAGGCAAGGTCCCTTGAGATTTATGAACTAGAGTTTTTTGGCAGCTGTGAGAAGGGTAGATTGTGTTAGAAACTAATTAGTTTCTGCATTATGTTCAGGAAATGGATCCCACTCCCTGTGGCCTCAGTCAGCTCCCACGTTGCTTCCCATCTTTCTAGGACTCTTGTCATGGATACAAATACTTCACCATTCCCTCCAGCAGCACTAGTGTCCTGTGGACAAATTTTCACAGGGATCCAGGTCAGCTCTTGTCTGACATGCAGTTGTCCCTTTGTGTTGATTAGTTCTGGGAACAGATTTGGGCAGAGGTGGTAGGTATATGGAGCCTGATTACACAACTTCAGCATATCCAGTGGAACTAGTTTCAATGTCGGCTCTTAAGAGAGCTGCTCAAGCTGACCTTGTAAAATTGGAGAAGGAAGACTCTGCCCTCCCACCCTTATTCGTTGATGATCCTGCTGGCTGCAGATTCAAGTATTCGCCTACATCAATAAGCTCTTTCCTGAATTTAGGTCAATTCTGCAATAGGAACATCGCGTTCCTCTTGCCAAGGAGCATGTTGTAGGCTGCCTAGACATTTAGTCTCTGTTTGGTAATGTTCTGAGTGCTCTAGTCTGTGCTGTCAGCAGCCAACCGTATCAACAAGCACAACTTCGTATTTTCGAATGGTATCTTGAAGGGCTTATCTCAGAGTACCCCTTATATTTTTAACTGAGGAGCCAGTACTATCTATTAATCATTGATCTCAGTGTGTCCCCTGGTCATATTTCTCTCACTTTCTCTGTCTTTTTTTGTTGTTAATGTAGAGATGGAGTCTCACTATGTTGCCCAGGCTGGTCTTAAACTCCTGGGCTCAAACGATCCTCCTGCTTTGCCCTCCCAAAGCACTGGCATTGCAGGTATGAGCCACCACATCTGGCCACCTAGTTTTTTTTTTTTTAGATAGGGTCTCACTCTGTCACCCAGGTTGGAGTGCAGCGACACTATCACAGCTTACTGTAGCCTCGACCTCTTGGGCTCAAGTGACTCTTCTGCCTCAGCTCCCAAGTAGCTGGGACTACAACCACCATGCCTGGCTACTTTTGTATTTTTTGTAGAGACAGGGTTTTGCCGTGTTGCCCAGCTGGCCTTGAACTTCTGGACTCAAGTGATCCCCCCACCTCAGCCTCCCAGAGTGCTGGGATTACAGGCATGAGCTATCACACCTGGTCTCTGATACTGTTGCCCAGTGTGGCCTACCTTGCTTGCCTTGGCAAGAGGGCCAGCTTGGCATGAGTTAGCAAAGAACTACTATTTGAGATCACCTATTTTACCTCAAGTACTGCTGGAACCCATGCACCTAGAAAAGACCAGGGTTCTCAGCCAGTAGACACAGAATAAGTAGTCTTGGTTATCTTAATGTTAACTCAAAAAAGTCATGCTGAGTTCCAGTGGTTGCATTGGAAGAGTGTGTGTCCCCTAATCCACTTGTGTTTGGCAGTGATTTCTCTATATTTGCTGTTTCTCCACTTGGTCATTTCTCATTTATGTCTAAACTACTGAAATCTGACTTCTGTTCTTGTCACTTCAAGTCCTCTCATCAAAGGACCGGTCGTCTCCTGTTTTCCAAATCTGAGGGACATTTCCCCAGCTTTTTCCTTCCTGACTTCAGCTGCCATCTATGTGCTGATCCCTTCCCTCCAGACCTGTGTATCTGTCTACTTGCCATTCTCCTCCAGTCACCTTAAAATTCGGCATGTCCTGAACTGAACTCAGTATCTTTCCCCTCAATCCCCCTCAACCATGCTCTTCCTGGGATCCTTGTCCTTGTTAGTGGTACTTAGTCCCCCCTATTAGGACTCTAGGAATCACAGAGTACTACATTTCACAGCTAGTGAGTCACCATGTCCTTTAATTGCCATCTCTCTCCATTTCCTCTACAACCTTGATTCAGGCCTTCTTCATCTCTCTCACAAGGTACTGCCAGATCCTCCTACCTAGTTTACCTGCCACTAGTCTTTTCCCCTTGGAATCCATTCCTGCCATAGCTGAGTGATCCTTTCTAAAAATGTAAGTTTGTTCATGCTACTTCAAGGATGTCCCATTGCCTGCAAGATAACATGTGAAGCTTCTCATCCTGCCATGCAAGTTCATTCATGACCTTAGTATATCTCTCCAGCCTCATAAATTACCTTGCCTCCTTTGCTGCCTACTTTTCAGTGATGCTGCTTTACAGTTTCATGTATAAAGACATCTGTTTCCTACTTTTCCCCCTGCACCATCCACTCTCACTCTGACTAGATTCACCTGGTGGGTATACCTACTCATCTTTGAAGGACGCCATTCAAAAGATACCTGTTTGAGGCCGGGCGCGGTGGCTCAAGCCTGTAATCCCAGCACTGTGGGAGGCCGAGGCGGGTGGATCACGAGGTCAAGAGATCGAGACCATCCTGGTCAACATGGTGAAACCCCGTCTCTACTAAAAATACAAAAAATCAGCTGGGCATGGTGGCGCATGCCTGTAGTCCCAGCTACTCAGGAGGCTGGGGCAGAAGAATTGCCTGAACCTGGGAGGCGGAGGTTGCGGTGAGCCGAGATCGCGCCATTGCACTCCAGCCTGGGTAGCAAGAGCGAAACTCCGTCTCAAAAAAAAAAAGATACCTGTTTGAACATTTTTCCTCTGTAGGTAGAATAGCCATTCTTTGTGCCCTCCCCATCCATACAGCTAACTCTCACAGTGATTATATTTTACTGCACTTATGTGTTTACATATGTATTTCCCAAACTTAGGGAATAGTCCATGACTACCCTTACTTCTGATATCAGTTGCAAGTTTGGGGGTCCCTAAGACTACCCTCTGGTTTTATAATTTGCCAGATTCACAGACCTCATTGAAAGCTGCAAGTCACAGTTTATCACAAGAAAGGAAACAGAATAAGTTGTCCAAGGGAAGAGATGCATGGAACAGAAACCAGGAAAGTTCCAAATACAGAGTTCTCAGTGGAATCATGGACAGAGTCAATTTTCCCAGTATGTGTAAAAATACCCACAGAATATTGCCAATCAGAATCTCACTTGAGCCTTAATATCTAGAGTTTCATTGTTTTGGGGTTTTTGTTTTTTGGTTTTTGTTTGTTTTTTGTTTTTTGAGATGGAGTCTTGCTCTACGGCCCAGGCTGGAGTGCAGTGGCACAGTCTGGGCTCACTGCAACCTCCACCTCCTGGGATCAAGTGATTCTCCTTCCTCAGCCTCCCTAGTAGCTGGTATTACAGGCATCTACCACAATGTCCAGTATTTTAAGTGGAGAGAGGGTTTTGCTATGTTGACCAGGCTGGTCTTGAACTCCTGACCTCAGGTAATCTGCCCACCTCGGCCTCCCAAAGTGCTAGGATTACAGGCGTGAGCCACTGTGCCTGGCCAGGATGATGTCTGAAGTTTTTATTGGGGCTCAGTCATGTGGACCTGGTTGTCTGCCCATGTGACTGACCTCAGTCTCCAGCCCCTCCAGAAGTCTAGCTAATAAAGGGTGATCCAAAGTCTCCCTGCTCCCTCATCACATTGCTAAACTATCTGGTACAGCCCAAAGATTTCTGCCTAAATCGCATTGTTAGACTGTCCAGTGTGGCCTAAGGCCTACCTCCTGATAAACAGATATTTTTATCAGGCAGGACATTCCAAGGGCTTTGAGGTTACCTCCCAGGATCCAAGGGCAAAGGCCAGAACTCTCTTTGCAAGGTTAAGTTCTTTACTACACACTCCCTCTATTAGCTAGCAAGTTCCATGAGGTCAGAAACCTGGTCTTCCTCATCTTTAGGTCCCCAGTGCCTGGCATTATCCCTGGCACTTGTTACGTTAATAACTTTTAGTTGAGTGAATGAAGAAATACTAAGGTGGAATGAGAATGCACTTGAGGAGAGCCCCTCCTCTCTGCTTCTGCACAGGAGTGACCGTGGTGAGAAAGCTGAGTGGAAGTGTGTGGCAGGCTGCTAACAGGTACTTGGATATGCTGCAGACTTCTAGGAACAAGAACTATAGTTATGTGGATGTGATTGAGAGGATAGCCTAAAAGCTCACATTGTACATTGGAAGAGGGAAAGGCAATCAACCCTAGCTGTCCTTTCTAATAAAGAAATGAGACTGGGCATGGTGGTTCACACATGTAATCCCAGTGCTTTGGGAGGCCAAGACAGGAGGATCTCTTGAGGCCAGGAGGTCCAGACCAGCCTGGCCAACAGAGCGAGACCTTGTCTCTACAAAAAATTTAAAAATTTGCCGGGTGCAGTGGCTCATGCTATAATTCCAGTACTTTGGGAGGCTGAGGCAGAATTGCTTGAACCCAGGAGGCGGAGGTTGCAGTGAGCCGAGATCGCCCCGTTGTACTCCAGCCTGGGCAACAAGAGTGAAACTCTGCCTAAA